ATTTGAACGTCGTCGCGGATAATAGGCTTTTGTAAACCTTTTTATTAATTAAATATTTTTCCAGTTCTATTAAAAGTATTTTTTTTAAAAAGCCTACTGAGACCCACCCCGTAACAGTACCTTAACTTTAATTAATGTTCAAAACAACATATTTTTTGTTCCCCATATACCTCTAATATGTATCACGCGATTGAGTCACTGAGTGTGTGACCATGGTCATTGTCCATTAAATTAGATGTGTTCAATGTATCATAACATAACATCACGCCTTTTATCCCCGAAGGAGTAGGCAGAGGTGCACATTATGCCACTGTACAATGTTACACCCATTTTTCACTATATATTTTATGAGTCCCATGTAATAGAGGGTGAGCCTATTGTTATTTACCGGGCACAATTCCAGACTCCGTGCTTAGATTTTTTTAGATTCGATTTTTTAGATTTTTTTAGATCCGACTTAGATTTTTTTTAAAACCTTGTAGTACTTTGCCCGACCCGGGAATCGAACCCGAAAACCCTTGCCCGGCAGTCGCACTTGCGACCACTCGGGCAACGAGGCCGTCAATGTATCATGCCATTTAATACAGTAGGTATCTATCTCATCAAATTCCCATGGATACCGGGAATCCCCATTGATTCGACTTAACGGGTTCAATAAGTCCCTGTAGATGTGGTTGAATCAGATTTAGAATATCGGTTCTTCCCTGAAAGATTTATTTGGGTGAAGATTCTTCGCTTATTATTTTAATAGTCTCATTATAAACTGTGGCAAATAATGAAAACGTAGTTCTTAAGAAATATTTGTATTATGTAGCTATCTATACTGCTACGAATGTTTTTATGTGATATAGAAATGTGTAACAGTTACTTAATCGCGATAAGGTCGTGCACGCTGCTCATGACGAAGAGTCCGGCTATATGACTCGAAACTAGTAGAGCTTTTCTTCGTACATTTACGTGAGTTACTCGTAATTTTTAGTTCATTCAACATGTCTTACGATAGTTATTATAAAAATACATATCACTACATAATAGAAAACATATCGCTACCCGCCGTCTGTCTGTCCCTATGTATGCTTAGATCTTTAAAACTACGCAAGGGATTTTGATGCAGTTTTCTTTAATAGATAGAGTGATTCTTAAGGAAGGTTTATATGTATAATACAAGCATATTGCACCCGTGCGAAGCCGGGGCGGGTCGCTAGTATACAATATAGTACTTATACTTACATACCTATACCTAGCTATATGATAGGTAGTTTAAACATAACAAATGGATCTATTCTTATTCCAAGCAATCGTCAGACATGTTATCGAATAAGTAAACTGTTGATACTTATCTATTTTGTTGACCTTATATAGTTGTGTTATGGATTACCAATATGTTTACAGTTTCTGTATTTCCCACATAAAAATATACTTACTTTAAGTGTGGTAGAGCCATGCTTCAGCACGAATGAGCCCGCTCAACCGGAGTGAAACCACGGCCTCACAGAAAACCGACGTGAAGCAACGCTTGCGTCGTGTTTTGTCGTGTGACTGAGGTTACCGGAGGCCCAATTACCCTCCACTTTCCCAATCTCCCCAATTCCTGAATCCCCAACGATTCTCAAACTCCTAATCCCCAAAAGGCCGGTAACGCACTTGTAACGCCTCCGGTATTTCAGGTGATATGGGCGACGCCGATTGCTTACCATCAGGTGATCCGTCTGCTCGTTTACCGACTTATGCCATAAAAAAAAATCCACGTACGTTATCAGGTAGGTACTCGTACCTTTGCGGTAGATCGACTTAGAATTGTTATAAAGTTTAGCGAGTATTTCATTGCTTGTACTTCCCTTTTTTTCGTCAGAGAGAGGAAAAAGTAAGCTATTACCCGGATAGGAAAAGAAATAAAAAATAATGACGTCCACTGCGTTTTGTTGCGCGTGAGTGTTGCAATAATTTGATGATTCGCGCACTTACTAAGGAAAAATGAAATGAACAGCAATTATTTGTTTTTAAGCGTGATTATATAGTACTAGCGACCCGCCCCGGCTTCGCACGGGTGCAATATGTATATACATACAAACCTTCCTTAAGAATCACTCTATCTATTAAAAAAAACCGCATCAAAATCCGTTGCGTAGTTTTAAAGATCTAAGCATACATACGGACATACAGCGAAGCGACTTTGTTTTATACTATGTATTGATGATGATTACTATAGAATAGCCAACATTTATCGCCACTTATAGATATAAGAACCGATTAAGGGACTACACAATCAACCTGACTTGAGTAAGGAACAGTTACAAAACGTGAAGAACTTTAGACATACATATGGTTTTTATGATATAAGCCGGTAAACGAGCAGACGGATTACCTGATGGTAAGTAATCGGTGTCGCCCATGGACACCCGAAACATCAAAGGCGTTATACGTTACGTTATCAGACTTCCACAGAAGAGGCCCAATAGGGCTGATGCCAGATGCAGAGCCGCGGAAAACTTAACGGGTTGCCGGGGCTCACGTCGAAGTTTTTAGGACACAAGTTAAAAAAATAGTATCCATATATTTTTCTTGATGTGACATGAGTTTTAAAATTTAAAAACATTAAAAATTGTTATTCAAAAGATCAGTTGTCATCAAGACATAAATAACAAACATTTTTTTTTTATATAATAACTTTCGTGAGACATACTAAATTATCTAACAAAAAATCGTGGGTTACTGTGAATATACAGAGAAAAGCGCTACTAGTTTCGAACCACAGAGGGGTTCTTCCTCATGAGCAGCGTGCGCGGTCGCGGCGATGTTAGGTAGGCTGCGGGACATCGCCACGATTTTTAGTTAACAAACAAAATATAGAAACCCTGACATATTATGTAAATTACGCATTTCGATTGCAACAGTCTTTAAAACAAAAGTTGCGAAACTCAATGACAGTCTTGTACATCTCAAAATGGCACTGACCCAACTATTGGAACTTGTTTTCAATATCTATCTCAAGAACAGGATAATGGTACCTAGACACACTACAGTAATAAAATAATATTATCTTTGATACACTAAAAAAAAACACATACCTACCTACTCGTAAAATTTAACTACCTACATATAAGTATGTATGGATGTACAATGCCAAAGTCAAAGTCAAAATCATTTCTTTCAATTCGACCAGAAAGGCACTTTTGAACATCAACAAAAAAAAATTAAGTGAATCTATTTGCTCCTTCCAAGGTGTAACTAGATTTCTATGGAGAAGAACCAGCAAGAATCTCCATAGGTTACTCTTTTCCAATCAAGTTTGGATTGTGCGAGAACAATGTAACACTAAAATACAGTCAGGGATCGAAAAAAAATAACCTTAAAGGACAGTAAAAAATACAGTCTGGAGCTGACCAGACCCAGTTGACGGCGCCCGTTCACGAACATGACACGTACATCACCACCGCCCAAATCAACCATATTGTAGGGAATCGACCGATCCACTGCAAATGCCGCCACCATTGACTCAAACATAAGATCATCACATCGTCAGCCTGTAGGTAGTTGTCCCACTATTAGCTGTGGAACACTTGTGATAAGAGACTTGCTCATGCAATGACCTTATAATATAGAGAGGGAATGAAAAATAGGGTAGATGCCTAATTTTTACTTTAACGACCGTCTGGTAAATTATTTTAAATCATTAAACATGTACTTCTTATTTTCTTACAGAAACGAATACTTTCGACGATGTATTGATTTGAAAAATATAGAAGTGACGTCGCGCGACATGACGATAAAATGCAATAAAACATTTAATTTGAATTTGTTTTCTTTTTGTTAGTGATATCTAAATATTATACTACCTCATTGGCTGAGTGGTCGCGAATGCGACTGCCGGGCAAGGGGTCTTGGGTTCTTTTCCCGGGTAGGGCAAAGAATTGCAGGGTTTTTAAAAAAAATCACAGTAGTAGTAGCACGGGGTCTGGAATTGTGCCACTGTGTGAATAGGCTCACCCCTTACATGGGACTTATAACATAAATAGTAGAAAGTGGGTGTTACATTGTACAGTGGCATTAAGTGTCATAATGTGCACCTCTGCCTACGTCTTCGGGAAAACCACCTACTTGCGAGGTTTTTTTCAACAGGATTCGAACCCTTTGGCCACGACGATGATATAGTCATATTAGTCACATCTATGGCCAATGTCCAGAGACAAAAGAATACCAAAATGCATTATTCATTTATTTACCTTCATCATTTTCTCATCTTTTTTCTTTATACGGGTAAAACAGAAACAACGTCGTAAGTTTTTAAGATGTAGTGTAATGTATGAGTAATAACAAACAAAACGCCACTGGTTTGTTTTTTAAAACTCGTGAGTAATCGTTTTATATGGTCGGACCTTCATAGTACCGAATTTTTTAAAACCTTTTTGCATTGACCGTTTTGAAATATTGTATGCAATTCTGCTTACATCTGTGTAGCTGGATGAATAATCCTAAGCGCGACCACCAAAGAGGTGGTGAATCGAATTGTTAATTGAGTTTTTTTATTTAAGTCACTCTCAGTAATAGCAGGAGGATCCAAATTTCTCTCAGTATAGGGTAACTTCGTCTGTGTGCATCCAACCACCAATTTGCGTCCATGCTACGGAAGAGAAAAAACCCTAAATTAAGAAAACTATCACAAGTAGCTAGTCTTACATAAAGTTTCAATTCTAACTTGCCTTCAAATATGACGTGTATTTACAGAAGTGACAATTCTGAATATGAGATTGAAATAGAAACTACAGAATTAGACGTTCTGGGTTTAGTTTATGTAATACAACAATTCTTTCGACGTAAAGAAATATTGACATTGCAAAGATATATTGATACATTTCTGGATATTTGCCTAGTTTAGAATTAAAATATTATACGACTCCATTTTAATACGAAACACTTAATTAATATCTCTATATATTTATTACAAAAACTTAACTAGACCGAACGATTAAGTTGATTAACAAATTAATGGCATTTGTTGACATTAATTTAATTAATGCATTTTACACCCATTAGCATTCCACAAACCTGTTATTATAAAAATAATATTTAAAATGTCGATTGAATAATATTATTCCACTCAGCTATGCCTCAAATAAACCTACACAAATTAACAAGATAACATTTAAAACAGAATCACAACAAAGAAAACAAAACAAGTACGGAAATTATAATTTTTAATAATTTATATTGACACTGGTAGGATATCACATTTCAGGGGTTTATCACACAATACACTGGTAGCTTAGTAGTCATCGTCTTGGAAGCAGAAACCTCCTCGTCTCGTGTATCCCAGGGGACAGGTCCCAACTACGATGCCATGGCGGTTACCAATCGAAGGCACAACATCCGAAGATAAAGCAACTTTGCCTTTCGAAGCACTTCCTGATGGCTCTTCCACAGTAATAGCCACTCTCCTGCCCTTCTCGTCGATATCAACCACCATGGATGACAATGGATGGTCATCTCCTTTGTTCTTCACTGTGATCTCCAAAATCATGCCGTCTGATGACAACGGCAGTTCTTGATGTTTTAGCACGTGGCTGGTGGCACAGGCGACCAGTGCCAGGCACACAGCAATCCTCAAGCACATATTTGAATACATTTTATTGTAATTTTGATGTGTTGAACGACCGGTGGCCAGATAGCGAATGTTTGTTATTAGTGTGATGCGCAACGCTTTATACAAGCGGGTTGGTTGAAGGCGCTCCATACCTTACGCATACGAACATTCCCCAGAGGTCGGCTCCTTGTGAATCATTCAGTGACGAGTATGACGCTTGTGTTGTGTGTGAAAACCCGTTAAGAATGGTCCAATTTTTCTATTGATTTCGTATAATTTTGGTAGATTCCATTGTTTTGTTACGTTCCCAATTAGATTTATTATTTATGTTTAAATAAAATATCAGATTGGGATGGGAATTACATAGCATAACTGAGTTTTGTTTACTCGTTAAAAATCCTGACTTATAACTTCTAGAGTATGTTTCTTTGGTGGATTAACAACTACATATTTTGCCAGTTGTTAGGGATAACTTTTGTAACCGAAGAAAGTATACAATCCACAAACATTTTAAAATGTAAAACAACGAATTTTCTTTTTTGATAAATAGCATAGTAAAACTAATACTTATTAGGTACTCAGATGATTATTTTATTTTCATACTATTTTTAATCCAACAGCACACCCATTGCAAGAAAAGGAAACCCCCTTTTTTCAATTAGTATATCGTCTAAATGGCTTCAATTAGCCCAATTAATTACTGTACAGTCTACATCTTCTAAGAAACTAAAACAAAACATTCAGTGATGCGTACAATGACATTGTAAGGTCATCACAATTTCATGAGAATTCACACGTTTTTATGTAAATTTTATGCAGTTTTTGAATGACTCATAATAAATTTTAGATCATTATGTACTTACCTAGGTACAACTGATTAGAATGTTTACTATGGTCATAATTGTCTCTGCCAAGCCTGAATTTCTTTGACTTTTGATACCTCCGCGCTGTCATTGAAGTTGACAACATGGCGGATGCACCAAAAATAATTTTTTAATATTTTTTGAGGTATTTTTTTTTGTTTTAACTGACGGTTGATAAATGTGTGCTTGTAATCACTTTTTTGACTTGAATTTAATATTTACGTCCATAAATTCTTGCAATTTTATCTAACAGATTTTGAATAACGGTTGAAAAATTTATCTTTCAATGGTTAAATATAACAGAACTTAAAAAAATATTATCATTATATTATTTCTAAAACTCGCTCTTGCTCGCACCAATGCCGTACTGTTACCTGGTCATGTGTTACGTGGTTATCGCCTAATATCAATTATCATGAACAATACTGAATCAGCTGCTCAAGTCATAATATGAATACAGTTATTTGGAAATTCGCAATCACAATAATAACACTAGAAATTGATTTATTATCATCTCCATTGATAGTGGAGGTACTTGTAACAGTAGATCTATGTAACTTATCAATTACGTGTAAATATTGAGTAATTGTGACGTCACGATGTCCTTCGATTATTCAAAGAGTAGGCAAAAGAGCAATCATGCAAAAGAGCAATCAATTTTAAGTGTGGGAGAGCCATGCTTCGGCACGAATGGGCCGGCTCGACCGGAGTGATACCACGGCCTCACAGAAAACCGACGTGAAACAACGCTTGCGTTGTGTTTCGTCGTGTGAGTGAGGTTACCGGAGGCCCAATTACCTTCCCCTTCCTCAATCTCCCCAATCCCTGAATCCCCAACGAACCTCAAACTCCTAATCCCCAAAAAGCCGGTGACGCACTTGTAACGCCTCTGGTTTTCCAGGTGTCCATGGGCGACGCCGATTGCTTACCATCAGGTGATCCGTCTGCTCGTTTACCGGCTTATGCCATAAAAAAAAAAAAAAATGCAGTTTGTTTTTATTTTCTATTTTATTTGTCTTCTCACCTACCATCCGTGAGTCACTGCAGGGTGCCACCAGAAGATCAGCGTTGAGTGTTACCACGCTCAACATAATGCTGAGGTGGAGGCCCATTCGTCACGTGCATGCATCTATTTTTGTTAATTTTGTGATGTTTATTGTTTGTTTTAATTTTGTTTTTATTTAGAGGTATAACTCATTTTTGTCTACATATCTGTGCATGCAATGTGTCGAATAAATGTTTTTCTTTCTTTCTTTCTTTCAATCATACGATGCTGGAAATATCCAGTCAAGTTCTGAGTACCATGTTCGATGAGTAAGTCTATTGCTGAACAGACATTTTCAAAAACCTATTAATATGTATTGACTTCCACTCAGGAATCGAAATTGGAACGTTGAGACTCTTTGTTCCGCAATCGCACTAACAATCGCTCGACCAACGAGATCTAAGACAAGGACTAGGAAAACTAAAAAGGAAACTAATACTGTGATACCTGCTTACTATGGACTTACATACACACATTGACACGAAGGACCTCTGTCGTTTTATTTGTTAACGTGGTAACCCATCACACATGCACACATATCTACATAACCCTCTGACATTTAGGTGCTTCAATCATTTTCTGGGATGCCAGATGCTACACAAATGTAGGTCTACTTACCCTATGTAGACTTATGACTATGTCCATATAATAGGCATGGCGACTATTTTTTAATTTTTTGTCCGTCCTTCAGATATTTTAAAAATCTTCGATACGTATTTTTTCTTTTTTCTCGTATCCAAAAAAACATGTAGATATTTTGAGTTAAAATGACGCGTGACGTCACACTTAGGTACGATTTCTCCGTAAGTGTGACGTCAACACCCCCCACTCCCTAACTTTAATGCGCAATAACTACGTATTCTTCTGTTAATTTGATAAAACAAAAAATACGTGTCTGATATTTTCGTGCGATCTTAATGACGGACTAATTACTTTTTTGATTTTTTTACCCTGTCGACTCGCCTATTGTGGCCACTATTCTTAAACGAACTAATTCCAAATTAATTGACTTTAATGCATTTATAGTGTGTACAGAGGTAGTCTAAAATTGGGTACTAGCCAACTAGTCAAATTCAATACTTTTTTCGAACTGTCAAAAACGATAGTTTTCTATGAATTTTGTACGAGATTGTGTATTGTGACGTCACGTTTTTTGCATCAAACACCATATTCATTTCTTTAAGATTTGCTGGAAAAAATATTAAAATTAAGTCGGTAATAAAATTATATAATGAAATAAAGTGTGAATATTTTTAATAGTTTGTTTATTGTATTGTACAGTCAAAGTAATTTATTTTTGATTAAGGAACGTACCCAATTTAGTGGTTCGCAACTAGTTTAACTAAAACTAAACTGTCCTTCTTGCAACACTGATGACCTACAAAATCTTGGTTATAATGACGTAGCATAAATTCAATGAATCAAAGAAACCTCCTTTAATTCGTCATCACTAGCAATTACAAGCAATTACCATTCTAGAAATCGAATAAAGTGAGTGTGGTCAAATGAATGAACTATGTGGCTAACAAACTAGACTAGGTCAGGACAATATTGCACTTCATCGTGCAATCTGACTCATATTTTACGTAAGGACCAGGACAAAGGGTGAATGAATTCTTGAGAAGATATAAAAAAAATCATTCGAACATAGTACCTCCTCCTTTTTTTGTATTCGGTAAAAAGTAGCCCTTTCTATAAGGTGATACAGAAGGGGTTCGTCACAACACTAGCATTAAGTAAGCTAAACGGTGCTACAAATTATTTTCTGTTTCAGCGAAAAACCACATAACGTAACATCACGCCTTTTATCCCCGAAGGGGATATTATTTATGTTATGAGTCCCATGTAATAGGGTGTGCCTATTGCCACATACCATAAACTGGTTTTTTATAAACTGATAATTTATAAAAAACCCAGTAATACTTTGCTCGACTCGGGAATCGAATCCGAGAACCCTTGCCTGGCAGTCGCACTTGCGACCACTCGGTCAACGAGACATCAAACCCATTGACATGTTTTTATAACTGAATTTAAGAAACTTTGGTTTCAGCCTGCCTCGTTGGCCGAGTGGTCGCAAGTACGACTACCGGGCAAGGGGTTCAATTCCCGGATCGGGCAAAGTATCACTGGGTTTAAAAAAATTCTTAGTGATTTTAAGCTTTTAGGTATACTCTTTAGGCATCTGATAGGGTTTTTATAAAAACCTATATTATAACTATTAAGCAATTTAAACGGATGAGATAACGCATGGAGATATGATATGCAATGTTAAATAAACAGTCTTGTCCCTACGCCTGTTCTTCCCCGAAGATATAGACCGCATTGTACTTCTATAATATGTCAGTACACCCGATACGCTAGTGGTGTTAGTCATCCCATTTGTCACAATAGATACATGTATTATGTTACCTATTAACAAACACCAAGGGCTAATTGGACCACAATAACACGAGTGCAGATAATAAACAAATATTTTAACCATTTCATACTTCGATGCAAATGGGTCGGCTCGACCAAAGTGATACCACGGCCTCACAGAAAACAGACTTGAAACAACGCTTACGTTGTGTTTCGTCGTGTGAATTATGCTACCGGAGGCCCAACTACGCAAGAAGCAAGCCCGAAAGCATGCTTCAATTTAGCACTTGACACTTGGTAGCATGTGGTGTGGCGAATCGAGAGGCGTTCGATTTTTGAACGTTTAAAAATGTTGCATACAAAATAGAATGCCTTGTAAAATAGATGGTATTTTAGATCATTTTTTGTACCTTCAACGGATATAGGAGTATAAGGTGGGTAGAGCGGTTAATTTGCTCTGCAATGAGATGTAGTGATTGCATAGGTATTGTATTTCGCAATGTGTTACAATAGTTAATGTATTTCTTTATTTGTGTAGCATACAGATAACAATGGGTACTATAGTTTTTTAAATCACCAGATGGAGTTAGTGTAAACCTTGTCCCTTTCGTCCAATAGAGAATTATCTTGTGTCACACCAATTTTAGACAGCTGCGGTGATTGGACAAAAGAACTTCTAACTAAATTCACGCCATCTATTGAGCAAATTACAAAGAGTGGGTCAGTACAGAAACAGTAACCAAATATGAAATGTCCGATTATGAAAAATCCACAACGTTGGTGAGAACAAACGTTGTGGTAGTAGTCTGTAAACATCGGAAATAAGGTCTATAATGGTGTAAGTGGGGTGCGGTCGCCGGTGTCCGCTTGGATCTTGACCAGTTGACTTACCTTGATACAAGAGATGTATCTTCCGCGCTTCGTTAAAAAAAGTACAATTTAGTTTAACAAAAGCAACTACATATATCTGTACTAAATCAATCTTTGTCTTCGTCAATCTCGCATACTAAACAACTTAGCTGACTAGATACGGTCGGGGAACACCCAAAGGACGATAAAAAGGACCCAAACACGTCAAACTATGTGAGAAGAATATCAAACAGTTACTTAATAGTTACTATAAGTGCTATTTATAGTAATGATAACAACTTATCTACATACAGAACAGCAGTAGATCAACCTTATCCAATCTATCAATATTCTTAAACACATATTCGACTTTATTACAAACGCATAAAGTTGATAATCTATTCAAGAAACATTAAGTATTAACGGTGTAACATGTCCGCCACTTTTCCTTGTCGCTATGGTAAAATAAACTGCATTTAACAACGAATATTACCTTATTTGGGCTTCCAGTTCAATTGGTTTTATATAATAATTAGTATTAAAGATGCAATTATTATTTGCGGTTTTAATGGTTTGTACGACAACGATGAGTTATTTAACAATTTTAATAAGTGTTGAACTTAATCAATACTTAAGAGAATATATGGCTTAATGTTATGTGATACAGACGTTAGAACTATATCTTATAATGTAATATTGACTTTTAATGAGTTCATAGGAAGACATTTAGGTAACTAATCCTCGAATGCTAAAAAGTTCCTTAATTTTAAGTTGTACTTAGATAAATATCGTGCCATCGAACTTATACTTAAGCGCGACTTAAAATTGGGTAGTCTTTCAATATTCGGGTGTAAGGGTCGATTTTTCCAATGCCATTTAAATTTGAACTAAGGAATAACTTTGAATTCTTCCAAAATCATCATCATCATCATCAACAGCCGAAAGACGTCCACTGCTGGACAAAGGCCTCCCCCTTAGTCCTCCACGTTGAACGACAACTCGCCCCTTGCATCCTGGGTCCCCGCAAGTCTGGCGATGTCATCAGTCCTCCACTCAAGGACATTCCTAACCCATCTGCCGTCAGTCCTTCGAGCGACGTGGTGTGCCCATTGCCACTTCAGTCTGCAGATTTTGTGATCAATATCAGTAACTCTAGTTCTTTGGCGAATTTCCATATTTCGGATTTTGTCGCGCAAAGAAACCTCGAGCATAGCTCGCTCCATCGCACGCTGAGCGACTTTGACCACGTTTCGGTACCATACGTCATCACCGGCAACACACACTGGTTGAAGATCCTGATCCTTATGACGAGGTAGAGACTTTGGACTTAGGGGTTTATTAGCATACCTCATTCTTCTCTGACTTGATGCATTTAATTCTATATAAAAAAATGTGGTATACTGTGGATCAATGAACAAATATAAAATACTAATAAAGTGTGGGAGAGCCATGTTTCGGCACGAATGGGCCGGGTGTGATACCATGGCCTCACAGAAAACTGACGTGAAACAACGCTTGCGTTGTGTCTATATCCAATGGACCCGTCTACTCGTTTGCCGGCTGATTCCATTAAAAAAAGCTAATGCCCCGGCTCGACTTTACTCGGATGCTTTTCCCTAAAGTTCCGATGTACTTTAATTTTTTGTAATTTATACTATTATTACTATTATTACGGACTAGATTATCCCAGTCCCAGTGCACACACAACAAATAAAGAATGCTTCTTATTAGTGCTTTTGTTTTTGTAGCTGTAATGACATCCAATGACTTCTTGCGTCTTGACTCTTGCGTGAGGCGACAGGGAGTGTAATACTGTTACTGACAAAAACCACTCTGTGTCTACTCCTTCTTTTCGAGCCGGAGCTTCGGTAATCCATAAGTCCTCCGCGATTTCGCATCCATATTGGTGTATAGTCATTCGGAAGTTATTCATTTTAACAATTACGTCAGGTATGACACGCATGGTAATAGCATCATGTCTCTCATTTTTGAAATGGTAGTATTGTCCTTACACACATAAATTAAATAGATAACCACTATTCTCCAGATTTATATTCGAATAAAAGATGATCCTAAATCGGATCTAAAATTGCGATCAATTAACGAACAATTTAGTCTAATTTTCCCATAAAGCAGGCAAAGTCTCCCGCTGATTCACCGATGTCTCATTTGCCCTATACGCAATACTCAAGATGGGAAATCCCAAGAAACACTTATACTGTACTGAATTACTTGCATGACAGGAATGATAGTCAAATTCTATTTCTAAATAATCCCCAAAATGCTAAAGCCCGAATCCCTGACAAACCTCAAATTTCTAATCCCCAAAAGGTCGAAGTCGCATTGACGCCTCTGGTGTTTCGGGTATCCATGGGCGGCGACTATTGCTTACCATAAGTTGAGTTCGTACCGTTTCCTCGCTTACCAGTTTATCCCATAAAAAACCAGAACAATATTTAGAGTAGTTTTTAAATGCACGTAATAGTGTCCTAAAGGTTAAGCCCCCTTACAAGCTTCAAGGTGCGGGTGACAAACCTAGCAAATACCAACGTGATGTTTTTTAAATTATAATACTTTCGAAGTTTATTTTGAAACCACTCACATTTAGCAAAAGAAACCATCGTGTGATAACCTACACTCATAATTTAATGATAAGTCTGAAATCGCCAATGTACATACCTTAAGCAATCATACTAGTACTACACAATACTATTTTGATATAGAGTTTGCAATAAGTAAAATTGTATTAGTTAAGATCTAAATATTTAGGTGAATTGTAAACTTGTTTGTGGATCTAATAAATGAAAAAAAAATACTCATTTCATCTCCGTATATGACAAGACTGGAGAACAGCGGAAAAGTTAAAAAGCTGAAATGGAATTGTCTGGCAAAATAGGTGCACATAAAGCTAGATGCAGATGCCGTAACTGTTAACAATCAGACAGTCACCTACGTATTTATAATTGTTATTGCCAACCAATCCAAAATCTGTAGATTAAGATAGATTTGTTACGGAAACTCCATACAACTGATCAAAAATCTATCCTTGATTGAGATAGGGTATTGAAATTAGCAGTAAGTTAAAATACTTGTATAAAGCTAAACAGATTTTATACATCTTCCAAATTAGGACATCGAAAATTATAGTAATTACTCAGCAAACTTTGTCGTAAGATAACTCTATGTAGGAATTTCTACAAACCACTTCGTCATTATATAGAAAAGGAATTTATTTATAAATATATTCGAACACCAAATAAACACAGGTATATATAACCAATGAAGCTTTATTAATAAAAAAAGAAGCACAAAATATCACAGATTTTCAGTTTTCGTTAAAATGATTCGAAGTTTAATAGTCAATAGGAACACAAGCCATTCCAACTCGTGTGAAACCAGCAGCACAGGTTCCGACGTTCACTCCGTTACGGTCTTCAATGACTGGTACAACCTCGTTCGAATCCTTCGACAGTACTTCTGGAACTTCGGCCATTGAAATCTCAACTTTGTGGTCCTCCTCGTTGATATCAATCTTCATTGTAGAAATAGGGTGACGTGGGTCGTTCTTGTCTCTCACTGCTACCTCGAGCATGAGGCCTTCTGATGGTAGAGGCACGGTGCGGTGCTTCAACACGTAGCCGTCGATGCTGACGATCAGCGCCAGGCACAGAGCGATCTTCACACACATGTTTGAATACATTGTTGTATTTTTTAATGTGGCGAGGGACCGCTTGCCAGTTAAGCAGGCTATTGCAGTGTGACTTGGTCATAGGGAGACAGGATATTATATACCGGTACTATGACGTTAATTGCAAATGTGAAGCGTTTTTCGATCATACTGTATTACAAATATTGTTGTCTTTTCCTCGTAAAACGACGTTGTTGGGTGAATCAATTGTAATTAAGTCATTATTTCCGATTACATTATTAATAATATATTTATATGCTTGCGTATGCTATGTGCATCTGAAAGTAGGCGATTAGTAGGTCATTATCAAGTATGTTGTAATAAGCGATATGTGCTTCGTGAAATACATCATTCGTTCACCGAGGTGGTATGTTAGCAAAGCTGCAGAGTTCAAGATATTCAAAATATATAATTGGAAGCATAATACTCGGGCATTGAGTCTCCCATGATTATAATTAACCCCGCATGGCTTGATTTTTATTGTTATCCTAATACCCTGACTAACCTGACCAAAATGTCTAGTAGGTATCCGTATGTGGTAATGCATAATCCTCGCCTGTGTTACGAATTATGGGTAGTAAAATGAATAAATATGTGTTTAGATATAATTTCCGAAAATTTAACAATAGGGCGCATAACTGACATGAAAATTAGATAGAAGTACGATTATAGAGGTACTTATGTCATGAAAACTAATGAAGAAATTCTACAAATTTCAAATCAACACGGGATTCATATATTCATGATTGGTAGACGCCGCTTCTAGCAGTAACTGAAACTGGCAGAGGTTTCTCCGATTACTTCATGTTAGAAGGCCAAACCTATCATTTCAATTAGTTGAGTATGTCTCAGATAGTTATCATGCATTTTTTTTCCTAGTTATTTAGTTCTAGTAACGTTAGTTCGTAACTGTTTTATTTCATTCGGCTAGCGTGAAATATGTTCAAGGGTTTTTAGAAAAACTGGGTCATCACTACATAGTATAAAACAAAGGCGCTATCCGCCGTCTGTCTGTCCCTATGTACGTTTAGATCTTTAAAACTACGCAACGGATTTTGATGCGGTTTTTTTTTTAATAGATATAGTGGTTATAAGGAAGGTTTATATGTGTAAAATATGCATATTGCACCCGTGTAAAGCCGGAGCGGGTCGCTATTTTGTCATAAGCCTGTAAAACCAGTGAATTTACTATCATAGTACATAGTAGGGTCCGGGAAATAACATGCAAGGCTATTATTAAGTTATTTTTAGACATTATACTAACACGCTTGATTAAAAGACACGTGTCTTCCAGGGAAGAACATAGGTTCATTTAAAACATCGCGCATTTTATTCTTAGAATAAAGGTGGAGAAGCACTTACCATGCCTCTATTTTATGTTCCTTCAAATTTTCAAGACTTAATTTTTTTATGTTTTAAACCGGTAAAGTAATAGACAGATCACCTCCTAATGGCAAGTAATCGGCGTCGCCCATGAACACCTGGAACGCTAGAGGCGTTACCAGTGCATTACCGGCCTTTTGAGGATTGTTGGGGATTCAGGGATTGGAGAGATTGGGGACAATTTCTCCCCGTAATTGGGCCTCCGGTTTTTTCCTTCGAAATCATTAATGAAAATTTTGAAAACTTTTATTTTATTATGGAATCGTTGGACATAACAAAAATTGCCACTTTGCACATTTTGCAGTTTTTATCCTTGTTACTGACTCAAAGATGACCATGCGTGTTCAAATTCTACTGTTATGTACATACGTATTTCCAAAGTTTATTTGAAAACCAACAATCCATGGTGAAGGAAAACATCTTAAGGAAAACTAGGTTTCCTTAATCATGCTATGTCCAGAGACTACAATTAATGGTAGTTACCAATAATTTACTACTCTAAGAGCCTGTTTCACAATATCAGGGACTTTAGCCAAACGCCACTTTAGCGCTTGTCTACAAAGAGGGTTGAAACCAAAATGTATGGGCATGACACTGATAAGTAAATGTCAAAATTAACGTCAATTCCATATACTTTGACTTTCTATTCTACATGTAGACAAGCGCTAAATGGCATTTGGCTACAGCTGCTGGATAGCCGCTATCTACCAGATATATTTGAACGTAATTTATATGAACTATCTGTCACATAAGTTTATCAGGTACTTATATGGAGGTGCTGAAACCGGCGCTTATAATTCTAAAGAGGTTATAATGGTACATTACAAGAAAATACTTATAACTCCCATGTTGTAATAATTTATATTTAGTACAAAATCTACATGCCCTCAAATATTTTACACCAAAGGTAGTCAATTCAGTAAGTCATCGGGGGAGGCTTATTCAGCAGCGGACGGCCTGTGGCTGATATGATGATGATGATGATCATGATATCCAACTGGTTACGTGTTTGGATCATTTTATTACGTAAAGCTGTGTTAAACCTATATTATGTAGGTTAACAATAATATAATATCTTTGATTTTTATTTGTTCTACGTATATCTGTAGCGGGTGTAACTTGGACCACCGCCTTGTAATGCGTGCAAAATCGCGGCCGCTTATGAGTTTGGGGCCGCGGTCTAAAATCGACGGATGTAAGCCTTTTGATACAATTAATTTAAGCTTTGTTTTTATAATTACTATCGTGAGACATATTAAATTAACTAAAACAGTGAGCTGCGCGACGTAGCTGCGGCCGTGCACGCTGCTCATGAGGAAGAACCCCTCCGTGGTTCGAAACTAGTAGAGCTTTTCTCAGTATATTCACGTGAATTACCCGCGTTTTTAGTTAATAATGTAGGCTTATTTGACTGTGTTCAGTGCTTATTTGACTGTGTTCAGTGCTTATTTTTTCTGCATATAGGAAAGGCTTAACCTAGTTTTAGTAACAATGTCCTGGATGTGTTTGCGATGTAGCTAAAATGGCTGAATTGGTCTGTATTAATATATATATAATAAACAAGAACGGAATTAGCCATATCCTATAAGAATTAAAATTACAGCTATTTTCTTTTTTTGTGTGGCTGCCTCGTTGGTCGAGTGGTCGCAAATGCAACTGCCAGGGCAAGGGGTCTCGGGTTCGATTCCGGATCGGGCAAAGTACTACAAGGTTTTTTAAAAAAACTCAGTAGTAGCACGGAGTTGTGCCCGGTATATGGCAGTAGGCTCACCCCCTATTACATGGGACTCATAACATAATTAGTGAAAAGTGGGTGTTACATTCAACAGTGGCATTAGGCCATTAAGTGCCGTAATGTGCACCTCTACCTACCCCTCCGGGGATAAAAAGGCGTGATTTTATGTTCCTTTCAAATTCCACGCTAGTAATAGTGTCTGCTCTAGCTTAGAACTTCATAACCATTACTGTTTGCTAACTAAAGGTTGTTTGCCAGTAAAATTCTAATAATTGTCCTATTAGTTAGTTAGCACAAGGAAAATAAACAACATCATGTCTTAAATATCCTCCACGAAGTAGATATGAGTATTACATATTAACTAACGCATATTATTCACTAGTTATGTAATCCAAGCCAGTTTATCAAGCATGTTTATTTATTTCAAAGGCTTTTCAACGTCAAACATTTTAAGATTTAAGTGTAGGTGAGCCATGCTTCGGCACGAATGGGCCTGGTCGATCGGAATGATATCACAACCTCACGAGAAACCGACGTGAAACAACTCTTGCTTTGTGTTTCGTCGTGTGAGTGGGTTTGAATCCAAATCCTTGAATCCCATATAGATGGGATTTTGGGAATTTGAGAATAGCCTCAAAATCCCAAAAGGCCGGTACCGCACTTGTAACGCCTCTGGTATTTCAGGTGTCCATGGGCGGCGACGATTGCTTACCATCAGGTGATCCGTCTGCTCGTTTACCGGCTTATTCCATAAACAAAAAATTATGCCATTATGTTCAATTCAGAAGTGTAAGTAGATTCCTATGGAGAGGAACTATGAGAAACACTACGGTTACTCGTCTGTACTGGAAGGGTCAATCAGTTTCGTAATTGTGGACCAACCCACAATTATGAAATTAAAAGTGATTCAATAATGTGGATGTGAGGATACTGTAGTGTCTATTGTCTAATAGGAAGCATGTATCTTATAAGATAACAATGAAAATAAAAGAATTCATCATTTCAAATACATTTTTTATTTATCAATGTCACAATTATCAATTTGGTTTTGTTGCATCGTTGAATAGTCGTCGGAGATTGAGTTGTTTAAACATCGTCATTGGGAAAGCATAGTCCACCGATACTAGTAGTATCTTGAGGACACCCACCCACTCGGATAGATGTACGATCTTCCAAAGTTGGTACTTTTCGAGAATCTGGTCCTTTTGCAGAAAGTTCAACAAAGGACATATCAACCTTTTTATCCTTCTCGTTGATATCAATCTTCATAGCAGAAATAGGATGACGTAGATCGTTCTTGTTTCTCACTGCTACTTCAAGGATGAGGCCTTCTGATGGTAGAGGCACGGTGCGGTGCTTCAACACGTAGCCGTCGATGCTGACGATCAGCGCCAGGCACAGAGCGATCTTCACACACATGTTTGAATACATTGTTGTATTTTTTAATGTGGCGAGGGACCGCTTGCCAATTGAGAAGTGTGCTCGTTCCCGACACAGTCACAGTTTATATACTGTTTTCGTAGCATATACCAATAAAACTGATATGTGGTTGAGTCATATATTAAGGACAAAACATCATTGTTTACTTGTTATAATTTGTAATTAAATATTCCTGTAAGATTTGCGTAAATTGCCATATAAAGAGAGTTCAGTTTTAGATCTTTAAATGGGTAATAGGTATTGGTCGTGATGGTAAGAAGATCTATCTTCTGGACATAATAGAAACTGAATACATAGTAACTATTTACTACTCATTTACATAGCAAGTTTGTGCATAGCCATGAAGGACCGAGGTCTAACAAAGGCAAAGGTTGGGTAAATTAAGTTCCTGGAAAAATAGACGCCTGAATAAACATTTACCCAATAATTAGGTTAAGGACGAGAACATTAATAAGCATTATTTTGTGTGCCATGACGTCAGAGTACCTACTTAGAATAAATTTGTCACTACTACAACTCTCCGCGCGGGTGACTTCATACATAGCCCACAAAGGAACTGCTCGTTTGATACTGACGGACAATTCATTTTGAAGGGATTAATCTATATATATAAAAATGAAACCCGTTTCCCGTTGTCACGCCATAACTTGAGAACGGCTAGACCGATTAGTCTGATCTTTTTTTTGTTTGACAATAATGTCAGGAGAAGGTTCTTACGACAGAAAAAATCCTGAAAATCCGACGGGAACGGGAAAAAACGGGATTGCGCGTACGAAGTCGCGGGCAGAAGCTAGAATTTTAAATAAATGCTTTGACTTTGATAGAGACTCTGGGCTCCAGCACTCTCTTTTAACCCGAACCTTTAGGATCGGCCCGTCAAACGTTAAGGGTATGTCAAACTTTGTTTATGCAGGTAAAGGATTCATTTTATTTTTATAGGATAAGCTGGTATACGAGCTGACGGATCACCTGATGGTAAGCAATTAGCGCTGCCCATGGACACCCACAACAACAGAGCTGTTACAAGTGCGTTACTGGTTATATCTGGTTGTTTCGTGGTTGTATCTACTGTAGATCCTGGCTTACAGGAGTTGCAGCGGTTTTGGGAGGTTGCGGCGGAATTGTCCTATATAAAAAAAAATGTGCGTGCCTTTTTACTGACTTACAGATTAGAAATTTGAGGTTTGTGGTGATTAAGGGATTGGGGACATTGCGGAGAGGAGTAATTGGTCCTTCGGTAACCTCATTCACAAGATGAAATACAATGCAAGCGTTGTGTCACGTCCATTTTCTATGAGGCCGTGGTAACACTCCGGTCGAGCCGACCCATTTGTGCCGAAGTATGGCTCAAATCATATATATAACTAGCTGACTCGTCAAACGTTGTTTTGCTATTAAAAATATGTAAAATGGCTATTAAAAAATAAGGGTTGATCGTAGAAGGGTGAAACTTGAGGATTGTATGTTTTTTGTATGTTGTATCATAAAAAAATAGAAATTAAAAATGTTGTCTAAACAATAAAAAAGTTCGGAACAACAATTTGTGGATCACACAAAGAGTTGCTCCTTGCAAGAATCAAACCCGCGACACGCTGCACGGCAACCGGTGCCCGCAGCCGGCACCAACCATGCCGTCAAAGATGACTGTCATAGGCTGTTAATTTAATAAGAGAACCTTATTTAAGGTTCAGCTATCCACCTCAGTTACTGTCCGGAAAATTTGTTATTAATTCAATCCTACTTCAAATATAAATTCGAAAATTGGTATCTTTATTTGTTTGTTTGTTAATCATTTAGGCACGTCAAATCTCCTGAAGGGATCGTGGTGACGTTTGGAACCGGTGTAGATTTTTGTCTAGATAATAAATATATCACATAGGCTACTTTTTAACTGACGGGAATGCGGATGAAAAGCCGGTAGAAGCCAGTTATCATGTAATTATTATATGAATATTAGGTTCTAACTTAATATAATAACTAGCTTCACTTCTAAATTTTTTTGTTGTTGACGTTCAAAAGTGTCTTCCGTCTTGAAATAAATGTTTTTGACTTGACTGTGACTGAGGTCATTTAATAACATTATGAAGTTATTAGTCAGCAATTAAAATAGGATACCAACAAATTATTCCACAAACTTGATAATTAATGATGTGTTTGCGTCATGCAAATATTGTGCGTTAATGAATGGGATAATTGCATTCATATATGTATGTTATGGAAATACAAAATAAATAAATAATATTATAATTTATGCGCATAGAGGACCACTAAATACTTAACAAATGGTTTATTTTATAAACAAAAACTTTAAGTTAACACCTAATACCAGTGTTTCATGCAACCCCGGTAGTTTCTGTACAAACTAAAATACACACAAATACTAGTACCTACCCATAGATAGAACTGCAAAAATCAAATTGGACGTACCATGACGTCACTACTGCATGTCAATATTTGTGACGTACTGTTGCTGGCAACAGAACGAATTTTGGTAAGTCGCGAGTCAAAGGACTCTATTGAATAAATATTTGTCCGAAACATTTTATTGAAAAGGTGATATTATTTTTAAATTTAATTTTGGTTAATGTGTTAATTTCTTGCTTGTTGGCAAATCATATGCAACCAAAAACATTTAACAAACGTAAAAAACTAACCTAGTCTCAATGCAGCCACTCGTTCATCTATAAAAAGTAATGAAATCTAGACAAAGTCGTGCCTTACTGCGATATCATTAATATGTTTTTATGGAATAGGAGGCAAACGAGCAGACGGACCTGATGGTAAGCGATCAGCGCCGTCCATGGACACCCGCAAAACCAGAGCAGTCACAGGTGCGTTTCCGGCCTTTTAAAAAGGATAAGTACGCTCTTTTCTTGAAGGTTTGAAGGTCGTATCGGTTCGGAAATACCGCCGTTATTATATTTTTATTATTAAAATATTATAGTTAATATTTTGTGACTTGCTCCTTGACACAAGAGTATAGACAGTTGAAATTAATTTGTGGTATGTGGTCCACCGCACATTTTAAGCAAACTTTTAAGTACTATGAATTTATAGAACGTTAACGGACGTTATCATACCCCGTATAGTGGCTGCCTCGTTGACCGAGTGGTCGGTTCTTTTGCCGGACAAGGGGTCTCGGGTTCGATTCCCGGATCGGGCAAAGTATTACTGGGTTTTTAAAGATTCTCAGTAGTAGCACGGAGTCTGGATTTGTGCCCGGTATATGGCAATAGGCTCAAATAGAGAAAAGTGGGTGTTACATTGTACAGTGGCATTAAGCCTACCCATTCGGGGATAAAAGGCGTGATATTATGTTATGTTATACCTCGTATACCCCAGTCCAGTGTGGCAAATACAAATATATTCAAAAAGTATGACAATTCCTCTTAGGTCTTTTGCAATGTAGGTTGTCTTGGTAATCCCACAGTGGTTATTTCAGATTCCTTTAATACAAATATTTATGTAGGTCTGTAAAAAACCAAAAACTTACGAAATACGCTATTGTTTTGATAATTAAACTGTCAAACACCAAGCGGTCACCGGTGACCGCAACCTATTGTTCTATAATTGTGTCTACAAAACCGGTACTCGACGAGTTAAATACCTAGTAGTAGTCAGGTCATACATGTCGAGTCATGCAGGAATCCTGCGGCTTTTGCACACGTGCCGTGTTTACCTACTAACTTACATACTTAACTGCTTTGTAAATACTTTATTCATTGCAAATTCGCAAACAAAACATTACGTTTATTTTGTTTTTACACTTCGTTGAAAGTGAATTTTATTGTTTATTTAAAATGATGACGAAATGAAATGATCACTTCGAGTAATTCCATGAATTCATCGTCACTCCATCCCAGTTTTATAATCCATAATGTCTGTTATTACGTAACTTAATTCTTACTCAATTGTTTATTCATTTGCCTAGGGATCATCGTCAAGTCATAATCAGCTCTTAACTGTCTATTTGCGATCTCTCCGCCTAATAATTCCATAGACATCACAGTTTAACTCGTCGAGTACCGTCATTATAGACACAATTATAGAACAATAGGTTGCGGTCACCGGTGACCGCTTGGTGTTTGACAGTTTAAAAGGTTAATCAGAGAGAGTTGGTAGCCAGTGTCTGTCAAATGCTTAGTAACGCCTTAGTCGTTTTTTTTGACGTAGAGGTATCTATACAAGGCGTTTTATTGACA